GGCTGTGCACAGGAGATCTGACAGATTTGGAGTGTTTTTGCAAGGAAGAGTGGGCAAATCTTTCCAAGTCAAGATGTGCCATGCTCATAGACTCATACCCAAAAAGTCTGTGTGCTGTAAAAAAATCAAAAGGTGCTTCAAGAAAGTATTTAAGGGTGTGGACACTTATGCAACCATATTATTTTAGTTTATTTTTAATTCCCTCCACCTTAAATATTTATTTTTGTTCAACTGAGTTGTACAGTTTATAGGTTACATGAACCACTTCAAGTCTGAACACTTTTACCCCCTTCCTGTCCAGGCCATTTTTCAGCTTTCAGTGCTATCAAACTTTGAATGACAATTGTGCGGTCATGCAACACTGTAACCATATGAATTTTGTAGCATTTTTTTGAGACAGGTAAGACTTTTTTTTTGTGGTATTTATTCACCACTGTGATTTTTTTATTTTTTTTGCTATATAAATGAAAGTCCAAAAATTTTGAAAAGTGTTTTTCTTATAAAATTTAGTAAATAATCTTTCTTCATAAATCTTGGCCAAAATGTATTCGGTTATCTTTCTAGTAAAAAAAAAAAAAAAAAATAACCCAAATTATATTATGACCAAAAAAATAATAAAAAAAAAAAAATGTACACTTTTTTTTTTTATATATATATATATATATATATTTTTTTAAACGTATTGTCACCCTAGCAGTACAGTATCACCATGGTGACACTGTATTACTTGTAGGGTGTGATGAAGATTTTTTTTTTTTTTTTTACTGATTGCTTTAACACCCATAAAGGCTGTAAAAGCAATAATTTTTTCTTCTCTCTGGCTGCATTCTTGCAGCCATTGAGAAATACTATGAGAGCTCTGATTGGTCACAGCTTGTCACATGGTACAAGGCTGTTGTGAATAGCCTTGTACCGTGTGACCTCTGTGATCATTCACAGATTTCACTAGTAGTAAGCAATGATGTCAGGAAGTGACATCTTGCTTGCTACTATTCATCTGATCACTGATTGGCCAATCAGTGATCACATGATCAGGACCTCACACAGAGGGTCCCGTACAGCGATCGGTGTTCTGCTGTGTCCTCTGGACACAGCGGGCACCGGATCGCGGTGCTGCTCGCTTCCAGGGAGCGCGCATAGCCTCAAAATGTGGGTGCCGTTTATGAACGGCAACCCGCTCCTGCATTGCTCCCATCCATGTACATGGGCCGGACAGGAAGTGGTTAAAGGTGGAAAAAGTTCTGAAATTATTTTTTTTTTTTTTTTTTTTTTTTTTTTTTTTTTTACATCACAGAAACCTGACATTTTAACAGGGGTGTGTAGACGTTTTTATATATACAATCTCCAGCAGACTCTGGTTTCCGGGCTCCTAATCGGTATCCACGGTCGTCCACCTGTGATGAGGGCAATAATTCCCTGGTGGCTTTTCAGGCCCTTGCTATGCTCACGTACAGTCTCTGGTCTGGGAACCTATTCTCCTCCAGCGATTCCAGACCTTACACAGCATGGCCAAGTGTATCATCCAAATTCAACCAAGTTATGATCTACCTACTGTGAAACTGTGGTGAAGGCTCACATGGGGGTCTCTCCTTCAGGGTTTAAAACCCTGTTAAAGCCAGGGCACCTTCTGCAAATTTCATGTATACTAGAACATGGAAAAACCTTTCAGAGTTTATTGAATGGAATCCTCAGTTTCCTGCTGTAAAAATTATGAGTTTTCGGCAAGTAAGCCTAGATATAGGATAAAGTGGTAGTCAAGTCTTGGTTGTGTCCTCACTTTCTGGGATCCAGTGACTGCTGCACATTTTGATAAACTAATTACGAAAGGCCTGTACAGTTCGTTCTTTCTCGTTGGGACTTGCAGTGCAGAAAGTGCTGGATATGTTGTGTGTCTCTCTCCATTCTTCTGAATAAGATTTCCTCAATATTGCCAATAACACCGATGCAGTATTTCTTAAGGCTGTCATGTCTGAAAATGGTAGCAGTAAGTGATGCTTGTATATCTGAGATCCTTCTTCCAAACACTGTAGCTCTAATCTCTTTTAGCACCATACAAAGTTCTGCAAATCTTTGCATCCAAGTCAGGACCTCATCTTCCAGCATGTCCAAACTAAAATGTCTGAGTCACCACAGGTATTGTACAGTGCCTTGAAAAAGTATTCATACCCCTTGAAATTTTTCACATTTTGTCATGTTGCAACCAAAAACGTAAATGTATTTTATGTGATAGACCAACACAAAGTTCACATATTTGTAAAAAAATTTTAAAACCATTTATCATTATTCATCTACTTCACAATTATATGCCAAAGTGTGGCGTGCATTTGTATTCAGCCCCTCTGAGTCAATACTTTGTAGAACCACCCTTCATATATGTTCGCTGCAATTACAGCTGCAAGTCTTTTTGGGGATGGCTCTACCATCTTTGCACATCTAGAGTGAAAATTTTTGCCCATAGTTAAAGCTTGGTTAGATTGGATGGAAAGCATCCGTGAACAGCAATTTTCAAGTCTTGCCACAGATTCTCAATTGGATTTAGGTCTGGACTTGGCCTCGGTCATTCTAGCACATAAATATGCTTTGATCTAAACCATTCCATTGTAGCTCTGGCTGTATGTTTAGGGTCATTTTCTTGCTGGAAGGTAAACCTCCGTCCCAATCTCAAGTCTTTTGCCCCCCCTAACAGATTTTCTGCTAAGATTGCTCTGTATTTGACTCCATCCAGCTTCCTATTAACTCTGACCAACTTCCCTGTTCCTGCTGAAGAAAAGCATCCCCACAACATGATGCTGCCACCACCATGTTTCACGGTGGGGATGGTGTGTTCATGGTGATGTGCAGTGATAGTTTTCTTCCACACATAGCATTTTGCCTTTAAGGCCAAAAAGTTAAATTTTGGTCTCTGACCAGAGCACCTTCATCCACATGATTGCTGTGTCCCCCACATGGCTTCTCGCAAACTGGACGACTTATGGCTTTCTTCTTGCCACTCTTCCATAAAGGCCAGATTTGTGGAGTGCACGACTAACATTTGTCCTGTGGACAGATTCTCCCTACTGAGCTGTGGATTTCTGCAGCTCCTCTAAAGTTACCATGGGCCTCTTGGCTGCTTCTCTGATTAATGCTCTCCTTGCCTGGCCTGTGAGTTCAGGTGGACAGCCATGTCTTGGTAGGTTTTCAGTTGTGCCATACTCTTTCCATTTTTGGGTGATGGATTGAACAGTGCTCCGTGAGATGTTCAAAGCTTGGCATTTTTTTTCTCTTGCCTAACCCTGCTTTAAACTTCTCCACGTTATCCCTGACCTGTCTGGTGTGTCCCATGGCCTTCATGATGCTATTTGTTCACTAATGTTCTCTAACAAACCTCTGAGGGCTTCACAGAACAGCTGTATGTATACTGAGATTAAATTACACGCAGGTGGACTCTATTTACTAATTTAGGTGACTTTTGAAGGCAATTGGTTCCACTAGATTTTTGGGGTATCAGAGTAAAGGTGGATGAATACAAATGCACACCACTTTTCATATATTGATTTGTAAAAGAAAAACTTTTGAAAACCATTTATCATTTTCTTTCCACTTCATAATTATTTTCCACTTTGTGTTGGTCTATCACACAAAATCTCAAAAAATACATTTACGTTTTTGGTTGTAACATGACAAAATGTGGAAAAATTCAAGGGATATGAATACTTTTTCAAGGCATTGTAAGTGGACTCTATGTTTAAGAATTACATGGAAGTGACCCTTGTTTCAGAAGGTCAGACAATGGACTTTTCAGGCTCAGAAGAGAGCTTTCACTGTCCCCTAGGACAATTGCACTGTCGCTGGTCAAGATAGTCTGGGCTTTTATGGCAAAGATGGATCCATCAATTGAGTGCAGAGCCCATTTTACCAGACGGCATGCTTGCTCATGGGCAGAATCCAGAGGTCCAGAATTATTCTGCTGGACAGAAACCAGGTTCATGTATGGCACATTTCTAGCCTATTACAAATCATTTCTAGCCCAATAAAAAGTTGATTAAGCAACACTGACAACAGGGGCTTCATTGGCTTCAGTTCTAGATGAATTTAATGATAGGATGATTAAAATGCTTCACCTTCTTTCACCCTTGTTTGTGATTTTGGCGTGCTACATCGCACACGTGTATGCTGTCATGCTTGTGTGAGGAAAACGGTAAGTTGTATACTTACCTGACTGTAATTTTTCTGTCCTGACGCATAAGCATGTCGGCATACAAGTCCCTCCCTAGGTCTTCGCATTTAGTATAGTTACAAGAATGTCTCCTTGTGGGAGGTGACTTATTTAAAAAGCATATCCAGTCCTGGGATTGTGCGGGAGGGGGGCATACCTGTATGCTGTCATGCTTATGCATCAGAAAAGGAAAATTACTGCCAGATAAGTATACAGTTTTCCTTTTCCAGACAGTTCCCAGTACCCATCAATCAGTTGGATTGCTTTTGGACATGCTTGACTGTTCCTGAATTCCTGTGTTCTTCAATTGTGTTTAAGAAAATAAGATTTCTGTACTTACCGTAAAATCGTTTTCTTACGGTCCATTGAGGTTCATTGGTTCCCCCCCACTAAAGCATACTGTGTAGAGAATGTGGTATACGTGTACTGGCTTAAGTTTTTCTGTTTGCCGGTGTCCCAACATCTTATGGGCAGTAGCATAACCCCACTTAAGTTCTGTGTGCCTCCAGTGACTTGAAGACAAGATTTTAGTGTGTGTATGTATATATATTATTTTTTTTTTTCCCGTTTCTCTATTGTTGTTCTTAGCTAGGGACTGTGGCTAAATAATTCAGTTTGTGTTTATTTTTTTTTTATTAAAAATATTAAATTAATTTTAATCTAAAAAATATATATTTTAGGAAAATGTAGCTATATTTTAGTCGTTTTTACCTGCTATACAAAAGGTTTGATTCCTGGAGCTACTGATTGCATATGTTTAATGTGTGAGGTTTTAATTTTTTTTTTTTTTTTTCTTCATTAACAG